AATGTCCAAGGTCTGCGGCCAAAATGATTGTGTGCCCAAGGCTTTAATACACCCTACAGAATATTTTCGCGATAATATTCGGCATTTATTCTGATGCCACGGTTGATTAATACGAGCGGAGAGCGACCATCGGCTGTTATGGCGGCCCACACAATCACCCAACGGTCGGCGCCTGAGTTCTGGAGGCCAACCGAAGATGCACTATTTCAGCTGACCTCTTTGGCAAGTAAACACGACCATTTTGTTTGTTTACAAACTGCTAGACAACGAATGTTTTCTCATCGAAGAAGACCAAATTCTGCAGTTCACCACTTTCGACCAAGCGTAGCAAATCTTTAACTCTTTTCCGTTGTATAAGTTCTTGCACTTTTTGGAATTTCAATGGCTTTACAACGAGCTCATTTTTAAATATTTGCCGAATGGAATATTGAGATATGTTCAGCTCACGAGCCATTTTTTAGACACTGCGACGTGGGTTTCGAACGAGTCGCTTCATTACTTTTAGAACCATATCTGCTGATGTTGATGTGTTTTTCCGTCCACTTCCTTGACGTCGGGCTATGCTACCAGTATCACTGTATCGAACGATGGTACGAGACACAAAAGATTTATTCACATGTAAATGCTGGAGTGCTCCAACGATAGCCACTTCTGGTTTTCCAACCAAATATAAAGAAATCACGCTTGAATTCCATCACGAATAACTTCTTTTCTGGAAAATTCTCACCAAAATGCTTTTGTACGCTTGTAAACAATATAATAAGCTGTCACTGGAATAATTTTAACAGCTGTCGGACGAGTGGCTTAGAAATGACAGCAGTCTGAATTTGGTTGCAGTTTTTTCATCTCACCCTGTATGAACAAAATCGGGATTTTTTCCGATTTTTCTGCCTTTTTGTGATTTCTTTTAATTTCTAAAATAATTTTTATAGAATTTGTTGAAAACATAAGTATTGCTCTTACAATGTCACCTGCCAGTCTGTGGTTAAATTAAGCAAAAAATATTTGTTTCTTCTTTGCCATTCACAAAACATGGAAAATATTTCTACTGAAATTGTAATACGCCACTTGCCACAACCTACGTAGGGAAAAGTAACACATGTCGACATATCGCACAGGAAGAAAAGAAATCTTCTTAAGAAAAATTCCTTTTTGTTTCTTATTTTTATTTTTGTTTTAGATAAGGCAATCAAAGTCGCATAACATTTATGTTGTTTGTACACGAAAACGCAATAAACATAAATTTGCGCCACATAAAAAAGTCGAAAAACAAAAACTCATCATCACCCCCTCAATTCCATCAATAAATTTCAAAAGAATTTGGCTAAAAGTAATATTCGCAAGAATGAATTATTTCGAAATATGTGTGAGTAAATATTTGAATAGGCTGTGGAATAAATAATGCAAATTCCCTGATAGCGGTGTGCGTGCATGTGTGTGTTTAGGAAAATGCATAGGGGTAACTTGTCACAGAGGTCACTGACCATAAACTTCGTGGAAAAATTCAATTTCCGCAAAGTAAAAGATAAAACAAATGGGGGGGAAGTTTTTTTCTTTTTGTATCAATCAATAAATTGTAGTGAGTTTCGGTTTCAAATTTCTTGGAAATATATTATCTTTGTTTAGAATATTGGAGATGGTTGCCTGCGACAAGAAAAGCAAAATTTCTTATGAAAAATTGCCCGAAAATAGTTACTAAAATCTGAAGAGGCATATCACATGATTGATACACTTTGGCATATTATAGAAAGTATGTCCTAGCAACACTCTTAATATGGTCGATAAAAATGTTCTCCTTGTCGGTCTACATAATTTTCATTTGGTCGTTTATAAGGACCACCTTCAGGTGGCCTCTATGGCTAAAATAAGAATTATGTTTTAGTGTTTGTTTTGTATTCTAACAGGTTTTAATAAACGTTTCTGGGAATTCACTTCCATTAATAATTTTATTTATTTTTGTCAGAGTATCGTTCCATTAAATCTAAAAACCTCTCTGAAACTGAATCCGTAACCACAAATCAACGGTTAGTTTATTTCTTTGTTTTTTTTTTTCATAAATAAAGTAACATCCTTGTTCAGGTTGTCATTCTTTAGGGGCTTAATTCATCAAACATGCTTTGACATATGAAATCCAGTGAAGCCACATAAAGAAAATTGCAGAAAAAAAATAAATAAATTGGATTTCCAATGTCGATGGGTAATGAAGGAACAATGTAAAGAAAAGAAGAAAAAAAATGCAAAATATAAAAACTTGAAAATATAGCCTTTACCATGTGAAAAATAAGCAGTAAAGAAAGTCTTAAAATCGGGCGGGGCCGACATATTTAGTAGAGCTTCACATAAAAATTTAAAGTTTTTTTTTTTGGAGAATTTGTGAGAATTAAATCAGACCAACTATTATTAAAGTTACAATTTAAAGTCTAACGAAACAACTACATGAGAGGAATATCCTCCTCAGAATTAATTTCTACTAAATTTGCCAAGGCATAGGGTAAGTGTACCAGTAGTCGGCACTTTTAGGATTTTCGCGTTTTTAATCGCTCACCATTCTGAGTGGAACTTTTCAATTATTACAAAGTTAATTTATTCAGATTCGAAATTTTGTATAGTTTTGCAATAATAAATAAAGTCTTAATAACTTTTTATTAAATTTCATAAATTTGTAGTTTTATTAAAACAATGCTTTTTTGCCAGTAGTCGGCACCACTTGCTAATTGTCGGTATGACATGTTCCAACAGTCGGCATACCAATTTTTTTTGTAAGAATAATTAATAATAATAATAAACTAATTCATTAAAATATAATATTTTTGTTTAGTTAAACTGATTCGACGTCTTTATTGTACTTTTCTTAAGAATATGGATTGTTGAAGACCTTCACAGACAAAAATTTAATTTTTATTAAAATAAATCATCTTTTCTTAGCGAAATTGTACACAAAGGTAGCTGACAACATATTTGAAGTAAACAAAATACATTTAGTTATAATAGTTTCATTTATTTGGGCTTAAAAATAAAAAGTGCCGACTACTGGGACATGCCGAACTTAGGCACACTTACCCTATATAGGTTTTTTAAATTCGGGCTTGTATTTCCCATTTGGTGCACAATTAACTTGAAATCGGATAGATATATATGAGAGCTATATCTAAATCAGAACAAATCTCCATAAAATTTGGCAAAGGTATTTCTGAGTTTTATTTGGTATATTTCCTACCGAGTGCATATTATGGACAAATTCAAAAAATCTGATGAACAATGTATATGGGAGCTATAGCTATATCTGAACCGATTTCGATCAAATTTGACACACTTATTTCTAAACCCAATTTGGTCATAAGTACCAAATTCTATCCAATTTGGGCTAATAATACACCCCACTTATCGTTGATACAGAGTCTATTTAACGGCTGCGGAGGACAAAAATAACAAATCGGATTAAAAATATATATGAGAGCTATAGCTATATCTGATTCGATTTCGAAAAATTTCGCACACTTAATTTCAGGCCGTATGTGTAAAATTCCATACTGATACTACACGTTTGACGCACAAAAAAGGTAAATCGGATGAAAAAATATATGGGAGCTATATCTAAATTTTGACCGATTATTTCCAATTTTGTTCGTCCTTGGGTCAAACAAACGACTCGTGCAAAATTTCATCTCGAAATAAATGCGACCTGTACTTTGTTTACAAAAATACAGGACAGACGGACGGACATGCATAAATCGACTAAGAATGTGATTCTATGCAGATCATCAAAAGGAACTATGGGTCTATCTCATTTCTTTTTGCTTGTTAGAAACAAATTCACAAAGACATAGTACCCTGACCACCTTGTTGTGTAGGGTATAAAAAAGGCATCAATATTTTACGATTCATTTCGCAAAATTTATCATAGAGCTTAGAAAATTTATATAGATTACTTTAGAACAAATCATTGGTTTTAAAAATGGGTCATATCTGCTTTTCTTATGGTTTTGTCCTTCTATAAAGGTAAATCTCGATTTCTAGTTCTAGCTATGCCAAGGTCTTTACCCCAACAAGTTTAAGGTGGATACACCCCCTGTCAATTTATCAAATTATATTTTTCCAAAGCTTAATATCATCACTGTCTATTAAATCAGAAGTGCAGGAATTTTGTAATATATATACATGTAAAAATATGAAATTACGCAAATGATTTAAAAACATATTATGTATATTTAAATCTTATTAACAAACGTTTTCAGTTTTATAAAATACACTGAAATAAAAAAATTCTTAGCTATATGATTTTTGCGTTAAAAAAATTATAATACACACATTAAATATAGAAAAAAAAATTAATCCTCTTTTCGCTTAATATGCTTAAATGAAATATGATATACAATAAAACCTCACACACATTTACACTGCATTCCACACCGTAAAATATTTTGGGGACGAGTTATTCAACCCAGTTTTTTTGTTTCTATTAACAACTGATTAAAAATGCCTCCACTGTGTTTTTGCAAAAACAAAATAAAAAAAAAAACAAATTTAAATATTGTGGAGAGCATGGAAAACACCACTCTCTGACATTGACAGATGGAATAATGTATGAAGAGAATAAAAATATATTCACATTGACATTGGACGTGGAAGGGTCAGAGAAAACAATAAGACTTTTGATATCTAAATTCGCATCCTAATTGACAGCTGACATTTTTAATCAAATAACAAAGCCAAACAGAAACAAAAACAACAAATATTCACAGCAACATTAATTAATGTCTCTCAAGTTAGACGGACATTTATTTGTATCTTTTATCTCCATCAGTCTGCTAGCCTATCTTGCTACATTTATCCATGGGCCTAGGAAACTAAACAAAGTTTAAGCTATAACCTAACACATACATACGTACACACATACAATTCATTTTGGATGGAATGTTGCGGACAGACATTTATTTAAGCGATTTTTATCACTTACAGTCCTCTAATTTATTTTCTCTTTGTTTCTAACATCTTTACAGTTGCCTCAAGAGATTCTTCAGCCAGCAGCAGTGGTTCATCATCGTCCTCAAGTAGTGGTGGCAGCAATGGCGGTGCCAGTGGCAGTTCATCGTCGTCGTCATCATCATCGTCCTCGTCGTCGTCCTCATCGCAAGCCAAACTGCCCGTCATGGTGTTCGTACACGGCGAATCATATGAATGGAATAGTGGTAATCCCTATGACGGCTCTGTGCTGGCCAGTTTTGGTCAGATGCTAGTGGTGACGATAAACTACAGATTGGGTCTGTTGGGTAAGTGTTGCTGTTATTGTACTTGTCACTGATGGTGACATGCTTTTTGCTTCCATTAAGATTTTGGCTTAAGAGTTATTTCAATACATGGCTGGTATTAATATTATGGACACTTTTATGGGAAATTGTATTGGAAGAATATTCAGTGTTTGATGAAATCTTATGGGGTGTCTTGGAATTGATAAATTATTTTGGGGTAGTAAATACATATGGCATATCCGTCACATGAGCTATATTCGCAAACCCGTAAACTTACTGCAGTTAAAATCGACCAGTATTGTCGGTATATCGAAATGCCTTTATCTGTAAAACTGTCTCATAGGTCCAATTTTAAATACCAAGTACAGGCAACTTTGTAGAAAATTGGGAGATCAAACTTCGACATGCCAGATATTAATAAAAATCCAAAATGGGGTTCAAATGTCGGCTTGTGCTATTATTTGTAAAATCTGAATATTTTTTGCCAGATTTATTATTTATCGACTATAAACATAAATATTGAGTTGAAGTCCTTTACTTTGTCCAATTTGGCCTGAACTTTATCAATTGGGGGCTTCGCTATATGGGGCCATAAGTAGAGTTGAGCCAATCTGGTTCGGTCGAAGGACATAGTTCCTTATCGAATTCTGTGGACTCATGTCGTTTGTACGAAAACTCTGCGTATGAGTGATATAATATACATGAAATCACTTATACGTTTAGGAACTGGTGTACTGAACTATGAACTAGATTGACTCAATTCTACCTATAACAAACCCTTAACTAGATTGAGTTATTTGTGCGAAGATGTGTTCTACCCAACAACTTCAAGTGAAAAATGTGACAAGGACCCACCTATGGAGCTTCTCTCAAAATTTGTACAGATAATGAAAGGTTTTCTGGATGGTATTTTTGGAAATACAATTTTTGAAACATCAAATATCAGCAAGGCCATGATTGGGAACTATACTGAATAGAAGAACAGCACAGATTTTTGTTTTTTATTTCATTTTTCATGTAAACGTAGAATTTTTATCCTTTTAGAAACTTATATTGAATTTGTTTTGAAACGGTGTTTGGAATCTGAAACAACTAAGAGCGTATCAGTAGTTTTCTGTCGGATGTATACACACAATCTATGGAACCCAACATATTTTCACATTATGTCTAATTCTGGTATAAATATTGAAAATGTGGTACCTCATTTCTGTCCTTATTAGATTTGTGATTATTTTTTATTTTCGAACGTGTTTTGGGGATGTACCAAAAATATGTTCTGATATTGTAGGAGGGTATACGATATCGTGGACCTATATAGATAGTTCTATTCCTGGGGATTAAAGAACTCCTAAAAATATCCTTTTATAGAATTTCAGACAATTCCATTGAAAAATGACGCTAAAATCATCAAAATACCGAACCGAACTACTTGTGTGGATTTTCGGGCAATTCCGTTGAAAATGATGGCTACAATCATCAAAATACCGAATCTCGGCGGGCACCGTTGTTGGGGTTGGGGGCTATACGATATCGTGGACCGTTATTGCCCATCTTCGTCCATTACTTGCCTACAGACAAAAGATTGATCTGTGAAAAATTGTAGCTTCTTATCTAATTCGATTTGACTCTATCGTGATTACAACAGACGGACAAACGGACAGACAGGGCTAAATCGTCTTCGAATTTAACGCTGATCAAGAATTTATACCTTGTTAGGTCTAAAATTATTATTTCGATGAGTTACCAACGGAATGACGAACTTAAATCAGCCTCCATACTAGGGTATAAACAATTCAGTAACAATTTCCGAAAAATGGAAGATATACGAAAGGATTGCCCTATTCAACCGGGTAATAGTTCTGTGTTTTAAGAAAAGTTTACCATGTATTATGAGACATACATCTTGGCGAACATTTGACATCTTCTATAGGCATCCAAATTTGATAGAAATATTACGGCGCTTATAATTTATATATGCCTCTGTATCAAGTCAGGAACGGCCTTTTAGAAACTGAAAACCCTGTATTGAACAATTTTTCTAATAAAAGAGATTTTGAAATTCCATGTTCCAGCTTTCGCGACGGTATTATTTATTGTATTGGTCTAAAACCTTAAAAAGTCATTAACTACTAGTCTTTAGTTCGAAAATTCCTAAAATGAGTCGAAGTCTCAATATTTTTCAAAATTCCAATTAATAACGAACTTTTTTAAGGGATGACTTTTATAACCAGTTTTATTTGAAAATTTGTATTCAAATCTCAAAATGATCTACAATTGGTCAGTAGACTAAATATATGGGCCTGTTCTTAAAAAGGCAGTTTATCTAAATTTAGAGATTCTGACATGTAAAATGAATGGTCAATATGGTCAATATCTCAAAGTTTAAGTAATTTAATGTACACATTATGTAGCCTAAAACTATCTCTTCCTAATTTCATTCAAACTTGATCTGACTTCAATTTATGTTTTATTAGGACATTTTCCCAATTTTCAATTCATAAAAATCAATTATTTTAAAACAATATAATTTTTTTGAAAATGTTTGAAAATAATTTTTAACAGAAATTATTAACAGAGAAATTATTAAGAGAAACAATTAACAGAGAATATATTTCCATCTTTCCTCTATGAAAGTATTTTTCCACTCCAGTGGTATTAACACACAATTTTCCTCTATTTTTCTTCAGGTTTTCTCAATGCCAACACAGACCGCTACTCCAAACTGCCAGCAAATTATGGTTTGATGGACATCATTGCCGCCTTGCATTGGCTCAAGGAGAATATTGCCTCATTTGGTGGCGACCCGCAAAGTATTACATTGGCTGGCCATGGCACCGGTGCAGCTTGTGTACATTTCCTCATATCATCCATGGCTGTGCCAGAAGGTATGTCGGCTTGCAGTTACATAGGCACAAACCGAGTATATGAATTACATTTAAAATAATATACATTTCCTTATTTGTATGCTATTTTGCATATTTTGTCTGTCTGCCCGTTTTGTGGTGGTTTTTCAACTCACTCCATAATTGTTTTTCATTGATTTTTTCACCTCTTTTTTTGTTGTTGGCACACACACCAGGTTTACTATTCAATCGAGCCATACTAATGTCAGGTTCGGGCTTAGCACCGTGGTCGTTAGTCAGTAATCCTGCCAAATATGCCGCCATTGTGGCCCATCACGTGAACTGTGCCCCGGATTTGCCGCATGCCCATTTCATGAAGTGTTTACGCGAAAAACCTCTGGACCAGTTGTTAAGTGTTCCAATTAGACAGCCCGAGTTTGGTTTTGCATTTGGCCCCAGCATAGATGGAGTGGTCATAGATGGCGGTGACTATGTGCCACCGCCGCCAAATTATATGCATGTCCAGGCATCGACGTCAGCTGGCAATGGTTTGGGTGGCGAGGCGGGCAATGCTGCCCACGGTGGTTGGGGTACACCGGGACAATTGGAGAATATTGGTAAGTAAGGCAGTTTATCAAAGCGTAATAAATTTAATATTCAATTGAGTAATGAAAAGAAAATTAATATTCAACAATTTTTTTTTAACTTTTTTTCCATTTCCAATTTACAAAAAAAAAAAAAAAAACCCTGCATAATTAATTACTCAGTTTTAATGAGGAAAACAGCCATTAACAAGTTGTCGAGGTAAGTTTAAGCCATTTCTTTAAATGAATTTTTGTAATTACCATTTTCATCAGTTTGCTGTTTGGTTGTATTTGTGGAGAACAAGACAAAAATCTCTCGCCCTGGGATAAATTTATTAAATTCTTTATTCAGGATTTACCTTCACCATTTTTCAAATGCTGTTAACTAAAATGACTTTTGACGGCTAAATGCGCTAATTGTTATAAATTGAATCAAAATTTCCTGAGATTTAATTTAATTGAGTAAAGTGTCTGGAAACATTTTTGGAATATTTCTATCATTTATAAAATGATAAATTAGGCTCTCTTGTCTGAAGGAAAATTGAGTGTTATTTAGTGAAATTAAAAGAAACATAGCACAAATTTAACCCCTGCACCTCGTAGACAGCGAAAACTCAAATGAGGCCAATGGAACTAATCAGAGTTTTTTATTGAGTTTATGAAAATTTTTTGGTTAAATTACAATCTGAACAATTTGTAATTTTTATGTATTTAACAATGATCAGCAATTTCAAAGTTTGATAGCATTTAGAGCCCGATTCTTGGTGGAGAGGCTTGCAATTGAGTCAATCTGCCTCTATTCGATATGTTCATATGCACAGACCGGTCTCAGAAGAAACGAGCGAATATATATCAGGAGGGTTGTCGAGATATATACACCCTTAGAATATGGTGACGGGGCCATTAGGTCAAACCAAAGTTCGTGGAGCAGTTGAGAGATATTTTAGACTTTATTATAAAAATTACGATGTATAAAATTTGGTGTTCATCTGTAGATTCAGATGGTTTTTTTTTCATGATTTAACACTTTTTTTAAATTTAACCGATGGGTGTACCAAGCTACAACATTGTCTAATATTGACCTATGTTCGGAAAATATCGGGTATTCCCTACGAAATATATAAACTATATGATACTTTACGCCACTACACATACAGGGTGAGATGAAAAAACTGCAACCAACTTCAGACTGCTGTCATTTCTAAGGCACTCATCCGATAGCTATTAAAATTATTCCAGTTGTATTGTTTACAAGCATACAAAAGCTTTTTGGTGAGAATTTTCTAGAAAAAAGTTATTCGTGATGGAATTCAAGCGTGATAGTGTGATTTCTCTATATTTGGCTGGAAAACCACAAGTGGTTATCGTTAGAGCACTCCAGCATTTAAATGTAAATAAATCTTTTGTGGTTTTTAAACAAAATTATCGTGTTTACTTTCCAAAGAGGTCAGCTGAAAATGTGCACCTTCGGTTGGCCACCAGAACTCAAGTGCCGGCCATGGTGATGGTGTGGGCCGCCATAACAGCCGATGGTCGCTCTCCGCTCGTATTAATCGTAAAATTGTTAAAAATTATGGCATTTGACATTTTTGAAATTTTTTATCTTACCCTGTATACTTAGCTAGGCCAGAATTATTATTTCGAAGAATTACAAATGGAATGACGAACTTTAATATACCCATCTCGATAAAATTTGAGCAGTATCTGATACCTGTTACCACCAAACATACTTATGGGAGCCATTAACAGATTTCCACCAAAGTCGAAGTCATCCACAAGGCTGAATTCGGTCGTATGTTCCAAAATCCACTCTATTTGGGATATTAACCATTTGGTTACAATAAACCTGAAATGGGATTAAGACATATTTGGGAGCTACATTTAAAACTCAAACGATGTCGATAAAAGTTAGCAGAGGTATTTCTGAGCTATATGCGATATCAGGTGCAAATATCATTGTTTTGGAGGGCATATATCGAATATGAGGGACGTAAACATCACATCGAAGCTGTAGCCATATTTTAACCGATTTTCACCAAATTCGAAGCATGTGCTTCTAGGCTAAATTTGAACCGATTTTCACCAAAATAAATTTTCACATATTACGCACTTTAATATTGAAATCGGACGAAGATATATATTTTTCTAATATATTTTAAATTTAAATTTGGACCGATTCTCATCCGTTTCAATGCGGTTTGTCCTTGGACAAAACAAAAAATGGAAAAATTCATCTGAATCGGAGAATAAATGCAACCTGTACTTTGTTTACAAAACGGACGAACGGATGGACATGTTTTCTCCTTTTTTGAAAAACGTCTTTTTTACTTTCCTTACCCTTCTCACATTAACATCTTCAATTAATCCAAATGGTTACATCCTCTCCCTTTCTATTCACTTTCTTAATTGTTGCTCTTCGACCCTTCATTTTCATCAAATTCCAATAATTAATTACAACACAATCTACCTTGATGAAGATTAATTACAATTATAACATAACTTTGAAGTAATCTTTCGATGCGGTACAACCGTCGCGGTTTGAAGTAGGTCAAAATTAAATTAAAATGTTCCGCACATCATTATCTCGGCGTTTGTGTCATCTAATTTGTTGCAATATATCATCAGCAACGCGGCAACATCTGTGTGTGTGGGTGGGTGTGTGTGCTGGCCACCTTTTTCTTTGCCGAGCAATGCTGCTCCACACTGCACTTAATTAATTAAAAATATTAATTTAACAGCATCACTTGCCACCCAAAAATTATTCTTCTTTAACGAAGTGCATGCGCCAGGCTAACAAAATTATGTCAAGTATGTTGCACTTGATGTTGTTGTTGTTGCTGTTTTTGCTACACGTAGGTAGGGTCCAACATGTTCTATCATCATTAATCTAAATCAACATGTGTATGTGAGTGCTTTTAGGCGTGTAACTGAGTGTGTGTGTTTGTGTGGGTTCATGCGAGAGGGAGAGTGAGTAATTTTAAAGGGTTTCAAACCACTAAAGGACATCAGCATAAACTGTTCACCTCAACAAGACCAAAGTTCATAGCATGCAATATTGTGATTTAATCATATGCCAGAACACACATACAGATGGGCCAATGTAATTAATTTTTTTGGTTGGCTGTATGAGTATGGCATAAATACCTAGATATTATTAATTTCCAGCCTCAAAGTAATTCAAATATTTAAACTCCATAATAGTGTGATATCATAGAATCTTTAAATGTCCCTTTCTATTTTAACAAAATGCCATCATGGACACGTTACCTTTTGAAAACCTTACTCCCATTTATAATAACTCCAGCCAACTTAAATTATGCTACACAAATATTTTCCTTTCGTTTCCACCTAATATGACAGCAAACATAGGCATGTCAGCCAAAAGGTCAAAACGGGAGTAGGGAGTATGTTTATCGTGTGTGTGTGGTTTATTGCACATTTATGTTTAATTAGTTATGCCATAATTAATATAAACTAAACCCGCTACAATAATTAATTGATTCTATAAATTTTCCAGGCCAGCATAAAAAGGCATGATTGTAATAACATTGCTTGTCCAATTAAGTCCATGTTCACCTCTAATCAGAAACAAATTATGACAAGGGTTGTTGGCTGACTGGCTCGCTCGCTGGCGTTGGCATACTTATTTACACAACGTGTAATAAAGCAAAAACAAAAATGTAATCTTAAATCTAAATATGACAGAGGCACGTAACAAACATAATTTTCAAATACATTTTTGATGAAGGACACATAAGTTTATGGTTGTTCTAGGGAAAAACAACGCTAACCCTGTCTTGTTTGTAGAGGTGGAATGAATTTACCGAATTTATTTGCTGTTATTTTTAGAAAAAAAATATATAATGTCTATAAAAATATTGCCTAAAAGACCAACATTAAAAAAAATGAAAAGTCTTTTACCAGGGATTGGAACTACTTTTTATTCTCCTTTCACTTGTAATGTTTCTCTTAAATTCTTAAGAGTTCATAATTAAAAAAAAACAAGACTTCCTTAAATCTAAAAAGAAATTTCCCAATGAACTGCGATTAAATTATGAAACTACTGCAGGTTATTTTACTACCTCAAAAATTTTCGACTCGACTTTTTTCGGAGTTTCGTATTGTAAATACTGGCCCCATTTTGAGTTTCTGTAAAAACTAATTAAAAAGTATCAATCCGATTTGCCGACAGATGTATACTCTCAGCTAATGTTCGATTATTAAAACATATTTTGACTTCTGTTATGATTATTCAAATCGTTGATCCTCTATGGATAATTTAATGTGCCAATATTGTCAATTTCGTATGGGACCTAAATGATTTGCGTGTGGTACCTGATATAGTTGACCGAAATATTCCATTTTCATGCCTTATCTAAAAATATTGGTATGGGCAATATTAAAAGAAAATCGAACATTTATATCCAATTTCATGCGAAATCATAAATTCCATATTCATCTTAGGTTTCTGGTTGAGAGAAGTATTTTTATATATAGCAAGTTGTATCATATCTCCGAATTGTTTCGCAAATTATGAGACATAAAAAATATTGAAAATTGTGACCCTTTGTGGGTCAGGTACCAGAAGGGTTTTGCAGATATATATTATCTTCACAACAGATCTTGTGTTAGCAAAAAAGTTTGAAGAGAGTTTGATTTTTATTTCGCCTTTTTTGGGCGTTTTGTTTTTCAAAATGTTGCATATTATTTGGGGAGGTCCCAGAAGGAATGTTCCGCACTCTACCATCTTTATAATAGATCTTTTGTTAAGAGAAATATTGAGATGTACCATGTTTTAAGGAAATCTGATGTGAATTTCACGTTTTATGAGCAAAATGGCTATCCAAAATTTTGAACCTTTGTGGGGGAGGTAGCAGGAGGAGTGGACCGATATATTCCACCTCGATACCAGACCTTGGATTAATTAAAATATTGTGATGCATGTAATTTGAATATAATCGGACTCGTACATCACATTTTATAAGAGTTATAATAATTCAAAATGTTTACCCTTTGTGGGGGAGGAACTTGATGGAGTGGACCGATATTGTCTATTTTCTCACCTGACCTATCAGCTATGAAAATATTACGACTTGCAGAGTTGAAAAAAATTTGGATTATAACTTCTCTTTCTATGCAGTAAAATATATTTTTTTTTTTTTGTAATTACGACCTTTTGTGGTGGAGGTACTGGAAAGAGTGGACCGATAGTGCCGATCT